AATATATATATATATATGAACTATTTGTACTACACCGTTGATGTTTTCACATCTTGGTTCCGCGGACGTCTGCGGGACTCCGGTCAAGGAGGTTCGAGAGGTCATTAACCTTGTCATCTTTTGTGCTGGGGCCTCCATGTGCGTGCACTCCTGTGTAGAGGCTTTTGTCGTCGTGGAACTTGTTCGCCATGGCTTTGGTGCCAGTGTAGACGGGGCCAGCAGCGTTGGTGAGCTGGGAGACGAGTTCCTGGAAGCCAATTTTCTTCTTTTCCGCAATCAGCTGCAGTGCTTGCTCGAACTCTGCCGAGGTAATGGTCTTGGCTCCCTTCTGTTTCACCTTGGCAAATATAAGGTCCGCGTCAGTAGTTGTGTACAGCTTGCAGAATATCTTGCAGTCCTTGCACACCTTCACAAATGTCCGGCCGTCCATCGCTGCCGACCCATGGGTGAAGGCATCGAAGACACTCTGGACTGACATCTTGAGCCAGATGATGAGTACAATCAACTCTACTTGCCAGCAAACCCCTAAACACATACAAGCACAAGGCGCATGATGAGCCACAACGAATACACGCCATGTAAGCAACAGAAGAGGAAATAAACAGTGCAGTGCATCCAGTAAAGTTGTACAGAAGTGATTCTCTCTATACGGCAGACCGGGACGAACACTCGACGCCGTGATGGCACTGGTCGCAGCTGCAGAGTCTTGACTGCTTAGTAGAAGGACAGGCTCACTGCCGCGTTCTTAAATATTTTTAGTCTACTAGCAATATGTTGCTAATCAACAAGCTTAACTCTACTCAGGCAGTACCGACAGGAATTTTGCCCCGAGCAGACAGGGTGCACAACCACGGATCGATGCACAAGTGCACTGTCGAGTTGGCGCTTGAAACAGGCATTAATGCCCGTTTAACTATCATGCGCGCCTCTACAATCGAATATTTCAATGTGTTGGAGTATCTTGTTGATCATGTCCTACGGAACTTCATGCAAAAGTACTGCACGGCAGAATACGTCAGGTCACCGACCCCCGTTGGCTCCTGAGCACAGCCATAACAATGGCTCGTTCCCCTACACTACTTGAGCCAATATTAAATGTAAAATACAAAATTCTTTTGACAATAAATTGGGTCTCATCCCGAGTCTGAGCCCAGGAGGGCCAACACACCCAACGGAAGAAACCACCTGCATCGCCACGTAGTTACTTTCTGTAGACTGCTGGCGTGGATTCCAACCCCAACGACAAAACACGACTATATAGGGTCCCTTAAGTATAAATACAAAACTCCAAGCTATTACCCCCACAGTGTGCATGCTATCGGCCGTTTAAATTAAGTGGAGCGCCCGTGAGAACGACTGTCGAGTTATTCCAATGAAACGCCACGAGCCCCCTTCACCCTTGTCCGTTGAACTCCTCAAGTAAGACACCTTCACTGATAAAAAGCCTGATCAATTGCATTCTCAGACGCTTAACCTCCAGCGACCCAAAAGGCTGAATATTCAACTTCAAGGGGCCGTAGTACGTCCAGTGTCTTCTGAATCATAGTTGGTGCTATTGTGGAAAGTCCACGTGAAAAGGGCAGACGAACCCTTACCCGGCCCTAGTAGGCACGTGGTATGCATGCCAGACTTCCCAGAAACTGTCTACGAGGTTTGTACGCACATCTAAGGTGTATTCTTTGTGCTGGAATGCTGCTGACTTGCATCATTGAGCTGCAGCAACGCGCGTTGCAACGCATGGCAAGCCGCCTTGTCCCTCTGCTCCACGCGATTTCGCCGTTGGCATCAGATTTCCTGGAGACTACTGAAGGAATTCAGTTGCATTCGATGAGCACCCATGTGATATGGTGCCTCCATTGAAGCTCATGCCAATCGCCGTCGCCGTAAGACCCAGGACCTACTTTATATTTACAGCGTACGGTCTGAGGCCCGATATTCGAGCTGACGTCAGAAAGCGGCAAAAAGAACAAAAGTTGTACGTAGTGAAGTAGATAGAAAGAAAATTAGAGCAAAGATCTCAAGAAGACACGAACAGCAAAGAGTGCAAAGAAAAAAACGTATATAAAGAAAACTGCATCTAAAAACTCACGTGCTAGAAACAACTGGTTTGCGAAACAATTGGTTGAAGGTAAAACGATCGAAGGCAATTGATATATAAGCTGCCCAGGCTGGCAAAAAACTGCAACACCACTGCAAAGATATTGCAGTGGCCTTCCACCCATTCATCAGCCTTCACCACCATCATGCTTGGTGCAACCCTCCTCTCCACTGAACGTTGTTTGTTTATCGGAAGCCTGATCCACTCCACACACTGGTTATCTCATTATTTTACCTACCCCAGTTGGTAAGAGTGCTTTACCAAAGGGACTGCATATTTGGTACAAAATATGGAGTGGATACTAAGCATTTAGTGGAGAAAAGACTGAGAAAAACCGTTAATGAGAAATGCAAAAGGTACAACCGAAAACACACTTTAAAAGAGCGGAGCAATTGAGTTTTGGGAACATAAACACCCGTGCTCCCCTGCAACCAGTCATCAACCTGTTGCACGTGCTTGCGGCGATGCTGCTACTCGTGCTGTGATTGCATCTGTTGCTCTCACTGCGGCGGTTGGTGTCGCTGCTGCTGCTCCATTTCATCAGTGCACCTGGTGCAGCTGCAGGTGAATTGATAGTTGTTGAGGAGCTGTTGCCTTTGTGCGGTTGTGAGGTCCAGAGGGACGTAGGTAATGGTGATTTCGTCTCCCACTTTAATGTCTTTGTCGGCCTTCAGAGAGATGAAGGCATCCTGATCGTTGTGCACGCTGCAGTTGGGTATGCAGCTGTGGTTGCAGCAGGCCTGCAGCACGTACACTCCAGCCCCTCGCAGCACCATGAGGCTGCCGGCTGTCGTTGCGCCCCACAGTAGCAACGCCTGAGCATTCCTCATGAGGCCCCCGTAGAAGAAGGCTAGGGCGCTTTCTCCCAAGAGGGCTTCGGCAGCCTCAGGGCCCAAAGCTTGTGCAAGCAGGGTCCCCAGCTGCTGTTGCAACAGCTGCTGGGCTCGCTGTAGGTCAACAGCACCGAGAACTTCAGCAGGTGCTGCTGCACACAGCCGCAAGAAGGGTCGGCATGCCTCTGCATATGCAGATTCTAAGTCCAAACTGAAAGCATTCCGTAGAGTTGCTGTTGTTGCGGCAACGCGGGCCACTGTACGGCCCAAGGCTTCCACTCCAATGGGGTTCTCAATGATAGTATCTTGCCCAGTTGTATGGTTTCTCTCATCGTTGGTTTCAACGCACGTCCTACTACACGCGGGGCCATCTGAAGCTCTTTCTGCATGCGCATCGCCCTCCAATGCTGTCCGTTCCAGCCTAAATGTACTTGCTTCGGAGCCACCGTCAACAAGCTGTTGCTGGTCATAATGCCGCAGACGGAGAAGAGCCCCTAAGGGTAAAAGCTCCATCCAACCAAACTCACGCTGCTCGTCCCAGGAGCTGGTGCTGTTGCCGTTTCTGGAGGTGGCGGGACTCGCCAGCGAACCGTCAAGGTTGCGCTTACTGCGGGGTGCAACAGACGCAGCAGAAGGGAGGTCCTCTTCTACATCTGGTGTTTTGGGGGTCCCATAGGCCTGACGGTAACACCTGGGGCTGCAAAACCAAAGGGGCTCGCGGCCGCCTGCGTCGCGCACGCAGATTCCTGCTTCCTCTTCGTCCCCTCCAGATGCTGCGGCAGAGGTGACAGCCATTGCATCCTCTGAGACATTCTCTTCAGGGTGCTTTGTTGCTCCAGTAGGTGCTGCAGGTGCAGAACTTCCCGATGCATGCCGCTGCTTGATTTTGTGTTGTGTGGGTTGAGGGTGAAAAGGGCGGATTCTGAGGCAGTTTTCACAAAAGGAAAACGCCTCGAAAGCAGCAGATGATTTCACAGGCCAAGCTACCAGAGGGGCCTCCACAAGAAGTGTCTGCCCAGAAGCTATCGGTTGGGAGGCCCTCAACTCTTTTCCATGGGGCCCCCAGCTCACGGTGAAGGGGTACGATGTGCACAGCGCCGCGTAATCTGTAGCCCACTCAAAGTCCGACTGCATTGTGAAGAAGATAGTTAGCTAAAACAGTTAGAGTGAATGCACGGTGAAGAATACACCAAAATGGGACTCGACGGACACAAGGTAGATTCAATGTGGAGATGCACACGGGAGCAAAAACCTAGAGATTGAGGGACTTCTCCCATCGACAACTCCAAGAAGGAGCTGGCAAATGAAATTGATTCAGATGCATGTGTAGCAGTCTGTTGAGGATGGCACGACGGCACTAGGAAGAAAGACGCGGCCGTGGGGACAGAGGAAGCCTGTGCACCCTATTCGAATAGGCTTAGCTGTCTCTCATCTTGGCATCAGCATATCTTTCCTGTACGAATACTTTGTGTAAGCTGTTTGGATGTACCTAAAGTGTGGCGAGTGGAAGGTCGCTGGGGCTGAAGGCGTCAAGGTCTTCGAGGGGTACCGGTATACCAATCGAGCTAGTTATAACCGAAAGTTCGCTTAAGTGCATCACTGCAAATAAGAATGTTTTTCAGTGTAAGCCAATACATCTAAATTGGTTTGAGGTCTCTGTGACGTTGTACTGTTCCTTCTGCACACATGAGTTTTCACCCCTAGCAGAGCCCGAGTTAGAGAAAAAATTCATCAGGTTCTCGTTTTGCAGTCAAGTCAGGTATTAATTGTCATATAAACTCGGATTCAAGTGTTAATTATATTATTTTTTAGCGGCACTCTGCCCGTTTTTGACTCCGTTTTGGATGGCTAGGGTTTCAACAGTGTGCTCAATCACAGGCCGTCGAGAGCCGCTGTAGTCCAAAAACTTTTAATGATAAATCACCTAAATACAATCAAAGTCCCTTCCAATATCTAGGAATCCTGAGCACAATGCCACGGAAACACTGGGATGATGTCAGGAGAAGGCAGCATCCCATGAGTTGCAGCACGCCGTGTTGCAATTCCCTGTAAGAGGCAATCCCCAATGCCAGCGTGCCTAAACCCCAATGCACGCCCTAACACGATACATAATTATGAGACAAATGCTTGTCCATCAGTAGACGGACGGCGTACAAGTAACACACGTTCCTGTATAGCCAGACTACTAAAGCATTTGTTCTCTGTAGGCAGCTCAGGCTACAACTGCCAACAGCCTCTTCTCCAAAGCAAAGCACACCCTCGTATGCCCCAATCACCAACCACGGAAGATGATATGGGGAGAGGCAGGAGGGGAAGTGAATACCTTTTTTTGCCTCTGCTGGGTTCCGGTATTCGCCTTCCCTCTTGCAGGTTTCTCTTTTGCCTCGAGGTCACCGAGGCAAAAAAAAAAACTGACTATGGACAAGGTGGATGAGTCCTGCAGTGGCTCCTTATTTGGGCAGTTTATGCAACCATATCTTAGTTAATCCAATCAGTGCAGTGGTTTGGCCAGTACACTGACTGGTTGCCGTGCAATATGGTGGTCAGTTGCTTCTTACTGCATTGGGGACCGCTTTTCATGCGGATGTCCGAACCCCATCGAAAAGGCGTGGAGTGAATTGTCGATTACTTTCTACAACAGTGGGGGCGTGAGCCAGATCTCGTGTCTTCCCAAAACGGGTGCCACACGAAAAAAAATTGAAGTGGTGTCGACTGCAGACATATCCAGAATTAGGCATAAGGGGAAACATGCAGCGGAAAGTAACTAACGCGGGAGTCCAGGTGGATAAAAAGGTATGAACGCGCATTTATACGTGAAATCGATATATAGTGGTCTTAAGCTGCGCTGGGCATGCTCTTAATTTTAGTTGCAACCGCTAAGTTAATAAGGGTTCCGAGACATTCGTGCGGTATTGCTGCTTAGAAGCGATCCTCAAAGTTCCACTGAGTTTGTCTTTTTCCTGATCGGGAAGCATTATGGATTCATTCTCTTTTGCATCTTGGACTTGGATTGAGAGTTTCATCTTCCTCCAACTGTTCCTTCTTCCTACAGCGTAGGTAGTGTTTTGGCAATATGAACACCGAAGTGGCCACTAGTATGGTGGCAGATTCGTGGTGGGAGTGTGATGCGAAACAAAATGTCTGCTTGATGACGGACACAGAAAGGCTCTACTCAATGCCAAACAACCTTTTTCTGCTGTTCGTTCTTTTGTGCGTTTCGTAGGGCGTTTGAAGCTAGGAAAACCAAATCGTCTGCATCAAAACTAAATGTCGAACGTGGGGCGCTTTTCTGCTTGTGACATTTATCACTTCTTCATGCAGGCGAATCTTAGTTGGTGAATCCAGGGGCTGAAACCCCGCGGTGGTGAACATACATATTCTTACCTACGGTGCAGACCTTCTATGAACAGTTAGAATCTCCGACAGCACATTTGGAACCGGTACTTTCCGATGGGGCACTAGCTATATTAATCTCCGTGGTTTTTCCTATTTTTGGCCCACCAGGTTCTCTCGTCTACTTGTGAATAAAATTATACTATAACTTCTTTGTTACGGCTGCACGACCGCCTGGTGAGGACAGGAGGAGGGGAGTAGACGTGGGTTGCAGCACAACTCGCTGCAACTCCTGCTACAATGCGGTCTCACATGAGAGTATGTGGCTACCCAGTAATAGTGTGGGGAATTGGTAAGACATCCACAGTAGCCAGCCATCGCGCAGGTAGCGATACATATACAGGCTTTAGACGAAGCCTGCTACAGCGACCCAGCGAAGCTGTGGAGCCACGGCAAAACGGAGTGGGCGCATAGTGAATTAGGCCATTTCGAGCCACCTTTTATTATTCCTTTCTTTCTACATTCTTTAACATTTTTAAGCGTCCAAGGATTCCAGCAAGTTGCAACTAGCAGCCACCAAATGCAGACGGGCTTTCTTGCAGCATGAGCGAACTACTTGGAGCTCTACACTTGTGCCCATTACTTTGGTGGTTGCTCAAAGCGTTGCCTTTATTTGAGAATCCTTTCATTCGCGTTCGTTATCTTTCCTTAGCCTTCGCCATCTGCGCCACAGAAACCGATTCCCGTAAGCGCAGACAGGTGTGGTTCCACTGCGGCTCGCGACGCAGAATTGGAGGCAAAGTTGTCAGCCCTTCAACCTATTAGAGGAAATCCTCCCGGTGGCTTCATAAAATTTAATTATTCATCCCCTTAAGCTACTAATTTTCGTGGGAGGAAAAAACATTGAGTTGATCCACCCTGTACCACAGTCGTGCGCAGCGCCTTCGAGCTTGGATTTGTTGCTAGTGCTTGAGTAGTAGGATTCTGCTCCAAATGATCAAAAGTGCTAAATACAAGGTAAAACATAACCTAAAGTTCAATGTTTTGAGGTTTCAATTTGGAAAATTTCGGTGGGAGTGTACGCGAGTTGGCCGTAGTGCATCGGTAGTTACTGTTGCGTAGCCGCTGCAGAAGACCAGCAAGAATATGCCTACTGAGCGGCTGCAGTGTCCTCAGCCCCGTGGTCATTGGGACTTACTTTACGATAAAAGCACATGTTAAAAGTGGAAGATACGGATGAAACGGCACCTGAATTTAAACTGTTGCCGTCCGTAGTCGCCGGACTCTTTGATCATCCATCTCGGGCGAGGAAGCTTGAGCGCCACGAAGTCTGGGCGGTTTTTTTCTTCGTGCAAGATTTTCTATATTACCTTTGAAGAGATTTCTTCAGTGTTTTTTGAAGAGCCTTTGATTCTTTCTGGCAAGTCCTTTGCCGCATCTCCTCACTGCTGAGGCCGGCGCTGGCGCAGTCAGTGCAGTGACCTGCCTGTGAGCGAACCACTTAGAGAGCGCGTCGATCTCTAAGTTGGTTCGCAAATCATTGATTGTTTTAATTCGTTCTTTAGAGGGCTGTTACAGTTGGAATCTCGCTGCTGTTTCGTGAGGGAGGAATCATCGCGATCGGCACCAATTTGGAGTTGCTCGCCGGCGGGGCCGCCGAAGTGGACAGCAGCCCGAAAGCGAAGCATTTGAGGCAAGCACACAATTCAGCAAAAGGAGGCCTTTAAAAATGGGAAATACATGTGCTGGCTGCTGCGGGGACGCAAATGATCCGCTGTATTTGCCCTTGGAAACCGTACAAGGCGGCGACGAAGGGATAGCGCAACTCTTCAAGCCCGAAATGGCGGATATACTTCATGAAGGAGTTTCTGTGGGACTCATACTCCAGGTAAATAAGTGGCTTGCTTAGTCACTTGGTGCAACAGTCTCCACAGCTAGCATGAGCGCAGAAGTGTAGACTTGAATTGGAAACAACATGTGAAGTTTTATGTGCACGCCACACTTGAGCGGTTACTTAGAAAAAACCAGCATTTTCACATTCAATAGTGCAATATACACTTCCATTATGCATCACAGACATCTTCACTGAGGTCTTCCCACAACTCCTTTTCATCCGAGTGATTTGATTGAGTCAATCGCGCGCACGGGCAGCCAAGCAGGTGCTCCCCATACACGTGCGCAGATGCATGCATGTAAATTGAACTGTTTGAGACTGTATGGAGGGCCTATAGGAAGTTTTTGTGTGCTGCGAGCAAATGAATTCCTTTGTACTAGTGTTGTTTCTGCGCTTGGTATTCATTACTGTCTGTTTCCTTCTCGTTTTGTAGATGTACCCTTTCTCTTGTTACTATGTCCGTATAACGCTGGTAGTAAGAGAAGTTAAGAAAGGGCTCTCCCGTCGATGTGATCTGGTTCTAAAGCCTTTTGTCAAATAAAGCTGTTTGGTTTGTGTCAAGAGCCTCCAATTCATTATTTCTATCGAGATACTATATCTGCACTGTTTAGCTTTTGGAGGGGTCACTTACAACCGTATTTTGAATTTTAGAGCCGATATGCTCTCATTATATTGTCGTGAGGCATTGAACCTCCCGGTTTCTGTTTATCAGCTGGTTTTACTTGCCCTTGTCTTCGTTGCCTTGACCTTTGTTGTGTCTGCTGGCTTCTCGATACTTTCCTCATCGTACTGGTGCTATGCATTGTTTCTTTGGACTTTGATATGTGGCGTTTGGTTGTTCCTTCGACGGTTTGGGGCATAGGCGCTTGAGGGTTCAGGTGCCACGTTCAGGTTCTTACCCTTGAGGCCTCTCGCAGCGCGTGCTGGAATTTCAGTTCCTACAGTTAAGAGTGGTTTGTGTCTCTCAGGACAAGTCCCGGCTGGAGTGCAGGGCGAAGCTCAGCGCAGACAACACAGCACTGGAGTTGTCCTGTGATCGCAAGAGTCGTAAAGTGGAGTTGAGTTCCGTCAAGAGTGTGCTGCACACACCTGAACAGCTGCAACGCGTGGACTGCTCAGCAGGCATCACGCCGGGGGACTTCTGTGTGGCTATACACCTCGCGGCTGCAGGCAACTGCATTCCGTTTTTCTTTCCTACTCTCAAAGACAAAAACTTGTTTGTCATCACTCTGGCGAAAATCCGCACCGCAGGACCCGACGGGCTCATTGACTAATCTTGTATATTAATTCGTCGTCTCTCTTTTTAACATTTGGTGCCTAGTGTACCTACTGCACCTGTTCTGCAAGCACTTCATGCAGTTGAGGCGTTCTCTACACGCTGAAAAAGCTTTGTGGACGTTTCTCATGCTGCCTAGATTTACCCCGTGTTGGTAACCGATTGTGTTTGGATTCATTCTCTGTCGTGAAAGGACGCCACACGCTACACTATTTTAAGTTATGTATAATTCAATGCTTTATCCCCTTTTCGTTTATTATTTTTGGATGAAAGCTAGTTCGCGCCGTTTGAACTTCCAGGGCACTGAGGGACATGACAACACACTTAGAGGCAAAGTCCCTTTACCTGCTTACTTCTTCTTTGGCTGTTTCGGCTCCAACAAACAAAAGGCTTCCCAGCCTGAACCCTCACTCCACTAACGACGTTTTGTGCGCGCCGTTTAGGCGGCGAACCCACTAAGTTGGTGCCCAGCTAGGATGACTATTATTTCAAGCCGGATAGAAGGCGAGCTGCGTTACAGCACATCCCTAAAAAGAAGCTAGCTGGCTATCCGGCTGTATGGCCTTTCTCCAGCTCGCCAATTACCTTACCCGATTCTATTCGCTAGATAGTTAGACAGCGCACATAGCCAGGAAGTTTAAGTGCTTGAACACCGTGAAATAGTTTAGATACATTGAAGCGTTTTAGGCGTACTGCTTTATACTCCGCCCGAATGGATCAGACAAGCACAATCAACAATACGTCGGACTAGCAGTGTACACTGCAACACTTAACATTGTCCTCGGTGCCCGCTGTCACACTACGACGATCCCTTGCTGCTCGGAAGACGAGGTTTTTAGGGAGCAGACAGTTAACCCTTTGATTTAAAATGTGTTTTGACAGTGCGGCAGAGACCCTCCTTTCAACTGAAACTGTCCACACGGGAAACGGTAGCACGCAGAAGACTGAATTCCGTTGTTAAAGTTGATGCCGCTGGGGGAAAGGGCAGAAAATTTCTTCCTGTACGGGTTTGTGAAGCATGGAGTCGGGGCTTCATCCAGCCTTCCTACCGATGCCTCACGTCCCCCCTATTGAGACCAAATCACATTTCTATTCCAAGGAAGCAGCAACCGCGCAACAGACCAGTCCTGCCTATTTCGTCCGAGGTGGCTCTCCACTCTGCACGTTAGTGCTGCGCACTCGTGATTTGTTATTGCTAGCAGTAAAAAGGTTCTTGACTGTGCTTGCAGATGGGGTCATCTTGCAGGATTTGCAGCAACCTGCGGGGCAACTCACTGGACACTTGTAGCACCAGGACCCCCAGACATTTGGTCCGCTGTGCAAAGGACCCCTGGGTGATGGACTATGAGGGAGAACTCCCGAAAATGGGTTATGTTATCGTGAATGCTTCGACCACATTGAAGCTCACGATGGAGCCAACTAACGACTACTGACTGTCGTCACGTGCTGCATCATCGACAGCACGTAGCTAAAGAGGTGGATGTGTACCCCTAACGGTGCACACGAAGTCTGCATACAGCCTTCTAGAGGTCGACGAACAAACTGGAGAATAGTCTAAAAAGAGATAGCTCCTGCACGAGTAATGAGAGGGCCGCTTTTGCCCTGGAAGTGCGGGACGGTTCGCTTTTGCTGCTAGCTCGTTAAACAGTGTATTTCCATTACGAACCTTTGGCATTAATAAGTTCTTTAAAATTCAATAGCTTATTTTAATTGCTGCTGTTAGACGCCGTTGTTTCTTGCAATGGAAATACTTCCTCCACAACCTACGAGGGAGCCTGGCAGTGGACATAGGCCTTTGGATAGCTGAATCGCAACGAAAGGTACAAAAAGTACCTTTTAAATTCTAATTTTAATGTAATTTAGCAAGAACTGCACAGAAAACATCTGCAGCTACAGACACTTGGTTGTAGACAGGGCTGGTGCTTGGCTGCTGCCGCAACGGGCCACGGTGTCTAACGGCTCATGTTGACGCGTTGTTCTCCCTCCCACTCCCCTGTAGTACTCAGAGAACAAACTAAACAACAGTATATTAAATTATTTTGAATTAAAAAAGAATTAACTCTGAACGAGCTGTGTGGTGACTGAGGCGGCCGCCCTCCGCTTGCCATTCTTAAGAGAGGCCCCATCGGCTCCCAGCATTATTTTAGGCAGTAGGAGGAGCGCCTTCGCCGCGCATACTGTCCTCTGTTGCTGTTACTTGAAATTAAATCAAATTTGTTCTTTATTTGTCTTTTTTAGGGCTATTGGGACCCTCAGCAGCCTCTCTAACACAGCACAACGCATCACAGCACCGCGCAGCAGCGGCGCAGCAGCGTCGTGAGCGCTGCAGCGGCAGACACTCTTCTTTTCCGTTTTCTTTCGTTGGTCAGCCCCTCGAGGAGTATTGGTAGTAAGGCATATGCCTCCTCCTTTTTATTTTCTTTCGTCTACTTCCTGCGAGCCCCATCGCCCCACAACTGCCCCCACCCCCTCCAGGCACGAGCAGCAGTCCGCGAGCCGCGCAGTCTCTCACCCAATTTTTTCCCGCAGTGTACTGTCCATACACCTCAGCTGTTCTCTAGACACGTGATTCTTCCCCTTCAGGGGCTGCTGCTGTAGCGGACCTCGTAGGGGTACCTGCGTCCGCATCGGATTGCAGCAACTGCAGAGATTTCCCGCGGCGCTTCGGTATATGTTGATACAGACAGACGCACGCACATATACGGCAGCACCAGAAGCATCCCTAGATCAGTGAGGAGCCTTAGGGGTGTGCCATTCTGCTGCTGGTCCGTGTGTGGGACGGGAGCACCAGATGTGCCTGGGCATGAGCAGCTGCAGGGAGGCGGCAGGGGCGAGACATGGAGAGGGCTGCGGCGCTCTTTGAGCTGCTGCTGCTGCTGCTGTCGTGTATCTCAGCCGCAGCAAAGGCCTTCCCCTGTACTTGACTCTGCACCCCCGAGGCGGCAATCGACACAGAAACTTCTTTTGCTGTTCGTGCTGCTGCCGCTGCAGCAGCAGGAGCGGCACACACTTGTCTCGCGTTGCTCTTTCTGCCTTTCCGGTTTCACATCTCGGCAGCTGTATTGAGAGTTGTGCAATCTCATCCACTGCCTTTGCTACTCCTGCTGCAGGAGGTGCTGCAGGAGGCCTTTGTTGCAGGGGAAGCGGAGCGGTTGAAGACCCACAGAATGCATCCTGCAGGAGTTAGGTGGCGGGTCTAGGGGCAGCGGTTGCTCGTGTGTGTCTTCTGCTGCAGCACACAAAGCGGCAGCCACTGCTGCAGCAGCTGCAGCCATGACAGCCGACGGGCCCCCATCTCTTGCGCAGCTGCGATGCACCGCCCTGCCGCCGCCACAGCAGCAGCCGCAGCAGCAGCTTCAGCAGGCGGAAGGCCCTCCTTCTCAAAGACAGTGGCTGTGTATGGGCAGAGGCCGTCTTCGTAGATTGCATGCCCCCGAGGCAGCCCTGAAGGAGTGCCGATGGGAGGCAGCGGCAGTAACAGCAGGAGCATGGAAAGCTGCAGCTACTGCTGCTCTTGCTGTTGCTGCTCCTACAGATGCTGGCGCCCGCTGGGGACGGCTGAAACACTGCAGCACAGTTTGTGTTGATTGCGAGGACGCCATACAAACCCTGCAACAGATCGTAGGAAGTGGCTGCTGCTGCGCTGACTGCAGTGGCAACACTGGCAGCCGCACTTCTAGCAACAGCAGCAGTGTGTGGGCGTCGCCATTTAATTCTCCCAGCCTAGGGCCTCATACTCCTGGGCGTGAGGCAGTAGCAGCAGCTGTTGCTGCTACTTCTGGTGTTGCTGCGATGGGACCTCCGCAGGGTGATGGGCGGCTACCTGAGGCTCCGAGCTCCGCAGCGGTGGAGGTAGCAACAGCGGAAGCACCACCAGCAGCCGCCGCAGTGGCTGCAGGTGTGGTTACAGAGGAGGCAGCAGTAGGGGGGCAAGCCCCGATACGACAGCAGCAGCGGCAGCAGCAGCCATGTAGCAACCCGCTGCAGTCTATGCGCTGCAACCTGCAGCGGCTGGTGCGGGATGGTGTACCGGCGCAGCTGCTGCTACTGCGATTTTCAAACGAGCTGGGCACTGAGGCGTTGGTGCCTTCAGTAGCAACAGCAGGGGCAGCAACAGCTGATGAATTGAGGTGGTGCAGGGCACCTGCTGGTAAGGGCAGCAGCAGCAGCGACGGCGACCGAAGCACGCTACTGCTGCTGCAGGCCAGACGGTCTTCTTCCGACGAGAGTCAACCAGTTGCGGTGGTGCCTCTAGGTGTGTGTGCAGCGTCAGCAGCAGTTGCAACAGCTACAGCAGCTGAGCACTGTAGCTGCAGCTGCGCGAGCTGCAGCACCAGGCGCGGTTTTTGTAGATATGGAGAGTCTGATAAGAGGGTTGTTAAATCGAGCAGCAGCAGCGTCGGTGGGAAAAGTAGCAGTAGTAGCAACAACGGCAGCATCGGAGATAGTGGCGGCAGCAGCAGCAGCAGCGGCAGCAGCAGCAGCGGCAGCAGCAGCAGCAGCGGCAGTAGCAGCAGCTGCAGCAGCAGCAGCAGCGGCAGTAGCAGCAGCGACAGCGGCAGCAGCGGCGGCAGCAGCAGCTGCGGCTGCTCCTGCGCGGCCTCATGGGTTGTGGCGAGTCCCTGCGGCACAGTATTTGTGCGGATGGACTGCAGCGGCTGCTGCAGGGAGCTGCTGTGTTGTTTGCTGCTGCTGCCAATTGTAGAATATCGCATGCGCTGCAACGCAGATCCAGAGGAAGCAGCAGCAGCAAGAGCAGTGGGGGCAGGGCCTGCCGCGGAATTTAGCTGTACAGATAACACTTCGGCGGCGGCAAAGTCGAGGAACATGCTCTCTGCTGCGACGCCCCCATCAGTAAGTTATGCTGGTGACACTGCTGCTGATTTGGTTGCTGCTGATGCAGTCGCTGCCCTCTGTGCAGCAGGAGTGGCTCCGAGCCTGAAGGTGTTTTTGGGTTTAGTTGTGGGAGCACTACACGAGTATTTCTACCGAACTGCCCTAAGGGTCGATTCCACTGGTGTTGGAGCAGCAGCCGTTGCTGCTGCTGGAGTAGCCGCTCAGATGCACCAGCAGCAACAGTTGCCGCTGCAGGCCCCTGCTGCCGTCCTGGCTGAGGCCATGGTGGCCTGGAAGTGCCGGCGAATGCTGGAGAAGGCACAGGAGAGTGCGGATCCTAAGCAGCAAGGACAGGAGAAGCCATCATCATCAAACAGCAGCAGCAACACCGTGAAAGAGAAAAAGTTGCTTTCCTCTCCCGAGCAGCCGAAAGGGGCTACAACTCAGGCGATACCTCAGGAGCAGCACAAAAGACAGTCCGGGTCAAGTCCAGGTGCACAGCGGGACTGGCAGTCTGCGCAGCAGCAACAACTGCAGCAGCAGGAGCGGCAGGAGGAAGAATTGATGACAAGCAACTTGCAGTCGGGCCGCTCTGAGCGTAGCCACAACAGCAGCCCGAACAGCTTACTGTCGAAGGCAGGGGAAGGTATTGCAGCAGACGCAGGACCATCAACAACACGAGCAGGATCACCCGCTGCAGCAACAGCAACTGGAGCCGTAGCAGAGGGAGCCATGTGTGCAGCCAGAAGCTGCAGGAGTACGCCTGGGCTGCGGCAGCTGTCTGCAGGAGCGGCGGCGCGTGTTAGGAGGGCTTCCACTGGAGAGTTGCTGCCAAGGAGCAGCAGGCTGCAGCACGAGCAGCAGCAGGATGGAGCTGGTGTCGAAATGCCCATGACAGTGCTGCGGCGACAAGAAGATAAGCCCAGTGAGCAGCAGCAGAATGAGGAGCAGCAGGAGCAGCAGCAGCTGGAGGAGCACCAAGAGGGAAGTAGAGAGGGGTCAGGCACAAAGGAAGCGGCCCCTCATGGGGCGCGAAGGGATCAGGTGTACGTACAAGCAGCAGGATACTACTGGCCTCATCTGCAGTATACAGCAGGTGATAGCGCGGTGCAGCAGCGACAGTGGAGGCATCTGCACTTCTGGCAACAGCAGTTGTGGCAGCAGCAGCCCTGGCAGTATCCCTACTGGCAGCAGCAGCAGCAAGAGGTGCTGCGCAGGCACCAGTGGCAGCAGCAGCAGCAGCAGCATCAGGATTCCGACCAGCAGGGGCCATTGGGAGCAGCAGCAGCGGCGAGTGCGCCGGAGGCGGGGTATGAGAGCAGTCAGCACGCAGCGGCAGCCGCCGCAGCAGCTGCTGCTCACCACCAGATGCAGCAGCACTTTTATTTGCAACATTTGCACTATTACCACCACCAGCAGCAGCTGCGACTGACGGGTCAGCTGCAACGGGGCTCCGAGGACGCAGCAGCATCTGCTGGTTTTATGGGGTTTCCTCCTTTCCTCCCATATTGGATGTTTCATCCCACCTTCGTACACATGCAAGGGGAGCAGACGTTGATGCAACAGCAGCAGGAATACCTGCACACGCAGGGTCAGGAACAAGACCTGCAGCAGCGGCAGCAGCAGCAGCAGCAGCGCACTGGTCGCAGGGGCGCGAATGCGTTTGGGCACCAACACGACCACAGGGGTAGCCTGGGGCAGCAGCGGCTACGTTTATCGCCTGAGCGGGGAGCCGATGCTGCAACAGCAGGAGCCTCCGCTGCATCTGCCGTTACTGCTTCTGTTTCTGCTGCTACCGCCGCCGCAGGTTCCGAAGGCTTTGCAGCGCGGTCGGGACCAGTAGCTGCCAAGACCGAATTGAGGAGAGATGCGGCCGTCTTCACCCCCAGCAGCAGTAGATACCGCCCAGCTGCAACTACCACGTCGGAGGGGTTGCTAGACTCACCTACAGGCTCACAACAGCAGCAGCACGGTGGCCAGGGGCAAGCAAGGGACGGCACGGATGTTGAAGACAGTGAGTCTTTCAAGCCACCAAGTAGCCGCAGATGCAGCAGTGTGGATATGCTGCAGAAACAGCAACAGCACCGACACCAGCAGGATGAACAGCAAGGCAAACCACAGCAGCTACAGCAACAGCCAGAACAGGCGTGCGCAGGGACGGGAGAATCCGCAGAGAAGTTGAGCAGGGACATGAAAAAAATCCGTCCAAACCAGCCAGAGGAGGAGCAGCAAGAGGAGCAAACGAATCAACAGGGGCACGTCAATGAACAGCAAGGACACACCAAGAGAACCGGCGAAGAGTGCCAGCAACCGCCGCAGCAGCAGCAGCAAAGTGAAGAACCATGTGATAAGGAAAAGAGTGCGGTTCCCCCTCCGCCGCCTTCAGGGGCACAACAGAATGCGACAAATCTCCGCCCACATGAGCAACGAGAGCAGCAGCAGCAACAGGAGGAGGAGGGAGATGAACAACAACAATGGTTCGCTGGTTCCTACGCACAGCAACAGCAGCTGCCACACCTCGCCACTGCTGCTCACCTGTACCCGCAGCTGTTCCATCCCCGCGTGCTGATGCAGTTACATCAACAAGCGGCAGCAGCAGCCGCAGTAGCAGCAGATCCTCAGAACCCGTTTGGGTATGTCCCCGGGATGCTGCCTTCCCCAGCCGGGTGGTTGCCGGTTTCGCAGCCTGCTCTTATGCTATACCAGCAGCAGTTGCTGCAGTTGCAGCAACAAGCTGCTGCTGCTGCTGCAGAGCAGCAAAGTCTACAATACCCCTTGGCGGGTGACGAGAGGCGCAACTCTCAGCACCAGCAACAGGGAAGGTGGCATCGGGGGAGTGGAGGGAGGCAGAGACAGCAGCAGCAGCAGCAGCAGTGGGGCTCTTCTCCTCCCTTTATGGTGTGGGTGCCTGGGCTTGGGCTGACGCCTTGGGTCCCGGGTTCCTTTGGGCATTTGAGGGAGCAGCAGGAGCAGCACCTGCAGCAGCTGCACTTACAGCAGCTGCAGCACTTACAGCATCCGGGAGGAGCAGAGCAGTGGAACGGAATGGATGCTGCAGCAGCTGCGGCAGGGTGGGGCCACAGGGGTGCTAGCACGGCTGCTGGGGAAAGCACTACAGCAGCTGCTGCTGCAGCTGCGGCAGCAGCCTTGGGGTACTCTAGGTGGGATCGCGGGCGTAACCATCGGCGCAGCGAGAGAGAGGCAGAGTTCAGGAGTCGCAGCGCGCTACAGCAGCAGCAGCAGCAGCAGCAGCAAATGTATGAACATCATATGACAGCTGCTGGAGCTCTGGGCGCGTGGCAACCTCACTTGCTTTACGCGAGTCAGCAGCAGCAGCAGAGCAGAAGAGCGTCAGGGCCTCATGGGGAGGGGCGGCCTTCCCAGCGTCTGCGGGGCTTACAGGAGCGACCAGGTGGCAGCACCGGTGTGCAGCAGCTTCCTTCCACGTATCACCGCTACCTCTACCAGCAGCAGCATCCTGGGGGCTATAGCTGGCCGTTGCCCTACCTGAACTACGGGGGAACTCGGCGACACACCGACGGGGCAGGGACCTTCCTAGGGGCCTCTTCAGATGACGGCAGCAGCAGCAGCAGCTGTCTGCCGCGCGGTGCAGCGAACGGCAGCACAGGCAGCGCTGCGGCAGCTGTTCCAAACACTCAGCAGATGGGGGAAGGCTGTTTGGCGAGAGAGCATCAACAACGTGAAGGGCAGCAACAACTGGAAGAAGAGCGACAGCCGCCGCCGCAGCGCCTGCAGGGCGGTGCACCTAGCACTTCATCAAAGAGAAGCAGCCTAGACAGCAGAGAGGCGCCGGCGTCGACAGACCGCGACAGCCGCGTAGGTGTTGTTATGGAATCGGGAGGGGGCTCCGGCAGCTGCAACAGCAGCAGTAGGGAGGCCCGGGCTTGCCCAGACCAGGAGCAGCAGCTTCCGCCCCGCCGAGAAGCAGCAGCAACGGCAACAACAGCGGTGACGGCAGCAGCAGTTGCTTCTGCAGCTTCTCGGCCCGCTGCAGGTACGCCATGCTGCTCGGCAGCAGACGGGGAAGGGGGCCGAGGATTGCTGCGGAGCCGCTGCTTCAGCCAGCTGGCGACGCATTGCCAATTTCCTCTGTCACCTCGAACAGGTGCCCCAATTTATTCGCAGACCTCCCCTGCAGCGGCAGCACAGGTATGTGCTACTGCAGGCGATTGTACAGCTGCACCAGCTGGTGCTCGAGACCGGACACAGAACAGTGCGCAAGGGCAGAAGAGTATGCAGGGACGCGAGTCGTGTGCCACTGCTGCAGCAGCTGCTGCAGTTGAAGCAGGGGAAGGTGCAGCAGCGGAGCCGCTCGTTCTGAGTTCTTCAGCAGCAACTGCAGCAACTGCAGCAGCAGTAGCTGCGGCAGCAGCTGCTGACGCCCAGTTGCCGTCTGAGCGGTTCACTGCTCAAGCGAGCAGTAGCGAGGAGGATGGAGGCAGCGGCCCTTTGCGTGGGTGTTGGAAGGTGCGATCAGCAGACTCCAGCGGCAGCGCCAGCTCCAGCAGCAGCAGTAGTTGTTTGTCACGGGGTGCATATAACTTGAAGTCCTTTCTGGTGGCGACGACTCCGGCGGTTCAAGTATCTGCACATACAAGCAGTTCTCCGTGTTACAGCAGCGGCACGAACAGCGGAAACAGCAGCAATAGCAACAGCAGCAACAGCAACAGCAGCAGCGGCGCGAGCAGCAGCAACAGCAGCGCCAATAGCAGCAGCAGTAGCGGCGGCGATTTGGAATACTCGCGTATTGAGCATGATAGTTGTGAGGGGGAGGCAGCAGAAGCAACAGCACGGGCAGCGGCAGCTTCATCTGCGGATTGTGAGCAGGAGAGGATGAGGGGGAGGGAGGCGTCTCTGAGTTTCCGCCTTAGCGACCTGTGGCTCTCTTTTGATGACCCGAGTATCTTCGGCTTGGAAGTTCCTCTCCTAGATGAAGAGCGGCGGCCCATCTATGTGGTGTATGTGCCCTACTTATCTGCGCTGCACCTCTTCCCACGCCACAGCGGCAGCAACAGCCTTAGCAGCAGCCGCAGCAGCAGCAGCAGCAGCGGCAAGGGGGCCGCGCCCTCCGAGGGCTACTCCCCCCGGAGCAGCGACACCGTCAGGTTGGGGAGCCCCGAACAGGGGCCACTAAAGGGGCCCCCAAAGGGGGGTCCGGGCTCGAAGGGAGCCCCCCAAGGCGGTTGTTTTCGTTTTATGGAGGTGCGGCTGCCGTACCAAAGGAGGCCTCTTTCGCAGCAGGTGACGCAGCTGCTGGAGGGCGTCGAAGTCGCGCAGACGCAACAACTGAAGCTGCTGCATTCCGACTCCAGAGACCTCTCGGATGATTCCTGGTGAGATTTCATGTGCCAGCTTCATCTGTTGTTGTTGCTTCTGCTGAGCATGTGCTGCTTGCACACGGGATCCGTGGATATGGAGTGCGCCCTTGAGGCTACGGATTTTGCTCCCTTTTCGGCTAGTTTGGGCTCCTGTAGCTTCGCATGTATGGTGGTTTGCTCTTACATGTTATTTGTTATTTGCTGTCTCATCCACTTCTTGGTTGTTTTCTGGTTGAGGAAATTCTGGTCCCTGGGTTTGCACATCCTCGCTGCTGAAGCTGCTGCTATTGATGGTTTATTGATTTGCAGCTGCTTGTTACCTTTGTTCGTTTCTATTGCTTCGTGCTTATAGTCGCTTTGATTCTGGTGTGGCGTCGCCATTTGCTGCTGGCTATTGCTTTCGCCGGCACTGCAAGCGCCTGCATTTGTTTCTGTGCCGGTCGTTATTTCTTTGTTCCCATTATCCTGTCGTGCGTCAGGTTTACAGTGTACTTAGCATGTGATTTAATATTAGGATGTCTTTTGTTGCGGCTTCTTTTTTTTGTCCCATGAATTAGATGAGTTGTTTCTTTCTCCGTTCATTTTATTTTTCTTTCTCCCCTACCTAAAGAGCCACAGTCGGAGAATGCAGCCGACGTGTCCCCCTTCATTGTGCCCATCCTTGAATGAATCGGCCTTTGTTGCAGCAAATGTTTCCTCTCCAGCATCTTTTACTACTGTAACTGCTGCTGCGGCACTGCATTTATCACATAAAACAGGCTGTATAGCTTGAAGGGGTAGCGCAGCGGTTGGCCCTCAGTTGGTGAACCGAGAGGTCGCGGGTTCGATTACCGCCTACTCGGAACGGTTGGGGGGCGCTGAGAGGATGAAAGTTCGCTCTTTTCGTCACTACCGTTGAAAGCTGCAGCCGCTGCAGTTGCTGTAAAATGAAGCGAAACTGCTGATGAAGATGGCGCCACAAACCCCGACACAGTGTACTGCTGCCGCGTTTACAAATGCATTCTTGTGATTTGTCGTGTTGTTCGTTCCGGCTGAGCAAACCAAGGTTTGATGCCAGTTTCATTGACAATGCGAGGTGCATGCAGTTATTTTGGGTTGCCTGAAAGCCGCCTTCTTGGCTTCTACAATGAATGGCAGACAGCGGTCTTAGTAGTTCTCTCTATGAGGAAATCTCCTCTTATAGATGCTCCTCTCGAGAAGAAACACCTACTTTTCTCCTTCGCACGCTTTTTCATGCACGTTGTTTTTGGGTGTGGGGCTTTCTTGTTGATGAGGGCGGAACGACAGGGGTTCTCATAACAGCGGTCCTTGAGGCTGCATCTTCTGTCCTCCACTTTTCGTATGCAGTATACTTATGTATCCCGTTATTTTTATATGAATAATTTGTATTTATACGCAAGCAGCTGTGCTTGGGCACGTGTGTAATTTGCAATTATTGGCATTTCTATTCGGTTTTTTGCACAGCGAAAGCAGCGTAATTCTAAGTGTAGTCAAGGGGGCCTGATTATGTGTATGTATGCCAGCGTGAACTTTTTCTTTGTTTCTTTTGCTGCTATTTAGCTTTTCATGCCGTTTTGTTCTATACTGCATCCCACTTGCATTGAGCTCCTTGTGTTTTCCCCCTGGTTTACGTCGTCTTTTGTCAACTTCCGTTGAGGTTTGTGCTTGTTGCTTCTTTCACTCTCTTTGGGGCCTTGCCGATTGACCAGACTACTGACGTGCGTTGTATCCACATAATTTTTATTTAGCATATGTTTGCGTGTATATTTGTGTATGCGTAGATATTTGTGTGTAGATGTGTGTACGCCTGTATGCATGTGTATAGGTGGATTTACGTGCACATACGTACATGTTTTCGCGTGTCTTGCACGCGATTACCCAGATTAGTCGTGCTGTTTGTGATGTTCCCTGTTCCCATTTGTTAGCATGTGCTGCGCTCTTGTTCTCTTCTTTCGTTGTAATGCTTCAGGCTTTGTGTCTACTGGCAGGCAATCCAACGGGAGTTTTCTAAGGTGCCGGCTCCCTCCTTTTTAGTTTATTATCGCTTCCGACTCACCTCGAAGCCGCAGCCGCCTCTCTGTTCAGGTGAAGGTACACTGCAAAAGGATGCCGCTTTTTCTTCGCAGCCACGTGCAGAGAGAGAGTTCGTTGCCAGCGGCGACACCCCAGCAGGTCCAGCTGAGCAGCAGCAACAGCCGCAGCAGAAGCCGCAGCAAAAGCAGCAAGAGCAGGAGCCAGGAGAGGAGAAGTTTTTGGCTCTTGTGCGTTTCGCCGTTATCGCGAGCAAAGGCCACCAAGAATGGATCGCAGCAGGTGGGCGCTACTGTCAGGCAGTGGTGTGAATGCATATCGTATATAGAGGCAGCTGTTACCGTGTATGGAGTGCGGGCTATCAGGGCTGTAGATCAGAGTGCGTAGACAGTGCATACACAGTGAATAGAGAAGGAGTGCACCCGACAGGAGAGGGAGGGTGCAGTGCATACAAGCAGTGCCCTCAGACAAGATGCTGCGTTTACGAAAACTGCATCGGCCGGCATTCCAGTGGATATCTAAAGGCTTTATGTAGCATATAGAGGGTAGAGAGGTTCATCTAGAGAGTGTGTTTAAGATGCATCCTGTAGAAGAGGTAGGAGCGGAGGCAGTGAGTGTATGAAGTCAAATGCGCGGTTTTCTATTGAGAGGCTATGCAAATGTGTATTGCTGGTTGTATATATAGATATATATAATCAACCAGTCTGTGTTTAGATTAAATACTGTTATTATTGGTGGCGTGGTACCAGTTTGTAGTGAACAATATTGTTAGGGACATGCGTTTGTGCATGAACACACATATGTACATGCGCATGTATATTGTGTGTTTCGTTGTTTGTTTGCTGCGCAGATAACGAAGAGTGGGGTCCTTTCTTTCGTGGGGAGTTGGGGCGGCTGGAAGAGTGGCTGCAGAGGCAGCAAATAAATCATCCCGACTTCAATACCTTCCGCCTTGGGGCCAGCAAACGGTAGCCAAGGCAGGTGTAGAAGCGCCTCAGCGGTTGTGACAGCCTGCTGTTGCTGCACGGACGCCGCGTCGGCTATGGCCGCGCGTGCGTTTCGTTGATAAGAAGACTGCGCAGGGGCCGCCCCTCATTTGTTTCGGTGTGTCTCTTCCTCGTTTCGTTTATTCTTGCTTCTGTTTCTGTTCGAGAAGCGGCTGCCCGCCCTCAGCAACAGCAAGTCATGCTTGCACTGCTTTTGAGGGAGTAGAACACAACAACAACCTAGGACAGGAATGCAATGGCGGGAAGGCAGCAGGTCTCCAGCGGCTAATTCATGGAGGCTGTCAGTACAGAAAAAGCATCCATTGCATTGAATTAGTGTTGATTAGTCAGAGAAGCATGTAGCGAGGCAGGCTTGATTAAGTAGAGGCCAAAGCTGAAGTGAGGAGTTGCTTCAGCTGCTGCTGCAGTGTCCTGCCAGGTTGGAGGGGCATGCAGCGGAGGGCGAAGGCAACAAGGGTTCGAGGGCTTCCCCAGAACCAGCAGGGATGTTGATACTGTCCAAACATATGCGTATAATTATTTGGAATATGCGTATTACAAAAGTGGAATATATCCCCTAGTTTTGGTTTGGGGGAAATGAGCCTATGCGCCGCAAGCGCGTTCAGGGTGTTCTGCTGCAGCTAATAGGCGGCGATAGTCAAACGTGAAATTAGATAGCGCACGGTAACTTTGAGAGCCACCAACAGAACGAGAGTCTAGGGGAGGTGGGGGAGGGGTTTGTTAGGAGGAGGAGGGTTGAGGCAATCTACACTTCTTGTGTTAAATCTTTCTGACGGCCGGCCACCTTCGCTGCGTTTGGTGGTTGGATTGTTGGGCCTGAGCCTGCGATGCTTCGATAGTTGGGGGTGTCGACAGTGCTGGGTTGTGCTGTTCTCTGTCTTCTTTGTGTTGTTTGTGGTTATAGAGACGCCGCAGCGCCTCGGCCTCTAAGCGTTAGTTTATTGTATAGAGTAATGGCGAAGCAGCGTTGGCTTTGCGTTACAAACCTGTGACGGCCGTGGTGTTGCTGTTTACCGGAGGACAAGTGGCATCTTTGTTTTTAGTTTGTTTGCACTACGGACCAATATACGTCAGCTGAAGCTAGGTACGTAGATGCGAATAAGTGAAAAAGTGCAAACAAATAAGGAAAGGAGGGAGCCCGGCGTAGCCGACAGCGCACACAACCAAAGCGATCTGTCTCGAGTGTATACGGGGGCAGAGGCAACGCAATTGATTGTCGCAGTTAATTCCACAGTAATTATTAGATTTGAATATTTGATCTGTTTTAATTGTAATTGCTCTTTAAACTGCCCTTTCTGTATTTTTCTATATCGCCGCCTTTCCTCTGCGCTTCCCTTGACGAAGGGAGAGGGCCTCGAGCGCGACTGAACCACCCGCAGTTTCGGTGCCTCAGTGGAACCTTGTGCTTCGTGCTTTTAAACTCGGTTTCGTTGGCTTTAGTTTGTGAAATTCGTCTTGCTATTGTTTTCCTTTAAAAGAAAAATATCAGTACACCTCGACAAGGAGCCTGTACAAGAAGCATTTTTTTTGCAGCCATGGCAACAGGCGGCGCCATCTCGCGTGGTATTTCCTCCTGCATGCATCGAGTCTTCCAGTTTCCTTCTTTCGGGCCATTAGCTCCCCTAAACTTTAGGCGGAAGCATTAATGATGAGTTAGACTATTTTTGTGAATTTGAAATTGACAAATGTTAATGTAGCACCCAGCAGGTTTTCCCTCCCTTGTCATCGCCTCTATCGGCTCAACAACACCTGGCGGACCAGAGCCGTTCCTCCTTCCGTTTTTTCCTATTCTTTTCTTTGCCTCGTATATGTAGTTGTTAAAACTACTTCCCCTTCTTCCTCGTATTGTCGTTGCTGTCCGTTGGATTGGTTCTTTTATCGGGTGTTGCTTGCTGCTCCTCGCGCTGTGCTCCCCCCCAGAAAGCAAAGCGACAGCTTCTCCCCCCCTCATATTTTCTGCTCATTTCCCCAGCATTACCTCTTTTTTTGACAGAGGAGTAGAACTGCTGCTGCATCATTGTGTGTTATGCATCAACGAGGACCACACACTACGTTCCCACCCTCTGAAGAAGTGTAACAGCAGCAGCAACAGCAACTGCAGCAGAATCAGAACGCAACGCACCTGCGGTAGCAATAAGTGCAGCAGCCCTAACAGTAACAGCTGGTGTAGAAGCATTATAGACAGCAGCAGTAGACTCAACGGCAACAGTTGCAGCGGAGTCAACAGCAGCAACAACTCCTGGTGTAGAAGGCGGGTATCACCGGTAGTTGCTGCAGCCTTTTCGCCTTATTGCCTTTTCTTTCCTGTTTCTCTTCATTCCGAATTGCTTGTGAGGAGCGGCTTTAGTGACCAACGGTAACAGTATAGGCAGCACCTTCAGGGCAACCTGCAGAAGAAATAAGGACACACAAGCGGAAGGCACAGATCCCAAGAAAGCGAGATAAAAGTAAAGCGAAGCAAACCCAGCCCGTTTGCTTAGCCGCACCGGCAGCAGCACACGTAGGCAAATACAGCCACACCAGCCCGCTTAACAACAGCAGAAGGAGAAACACTAACAGCAGTAGTAGCACGACCAGCAACAGCAGCGGCTGCAACAGAAACACCAGGACGCAGCAGCACCAGCAGAGGCAGCAGCAGAAGCATCGGCCTCAGTAGTATCCAGCATCATCGGCAGCATTGGCATTTGCAACAGCAGCAGCAGCGGCAACAGCAGCAGCGGCGGCAACAACAGCAGCAGCGGCATCGGGAATCCATGTGTATTGACTTAATGTTGTAATGGAGGACAGACGAAGCCGACCGCAGCTGCAGGGGCCGCTGCTTCAGGGTCCAGGAGAGAAGGCGGTGGCGACAGTAGCAGCAGCAGCGGCGGCGGCAGCTGCAGCAAAAGATGCAGCCGCCGCAGCAGCAAACCCAAAGCTCCCACGCCGTCCTCCAGGTACTGCTTGCTTTAATTGTCATGTTATCTCTTCTGTGATGCCCATTTGCTTGTTGGGTTTGCTTGTTTTCTTTTTTTGCATGCTTTTGTTTAGCCTTAGTAGTTTTTCATTTCACTAATTTATTTTTTAGTTTGTTTGTTCAGTTGAAGTTATGGTGTTTGGTTCTATGTTTGCTCCTCTTTTGCGAGCGCTGGCTTCTTCTTTCTTTGGCAGATGTGTCCCTTACTGTATGCATTCTTGGATTCTTCTTCTTCTGCAGCTGCTGCTACCTTTACTGCTTTTGCTTCTGGTGCTGCGCAGGTCCGTCTCCTGAGTTAATTCGGCGGAAGTTGGAACAAGTCATGAGCAGCCGTGAAGTCTTCAGGCGAAGTGCCTCTGCATCCTTCAGGTTTGAACGCCGAACCATTTGCTGCTGTTGCTCGTGCTGTTGCTGCTGCTCTTCTTTCATCCGTCTGTCGGCCTATTCAACTGACTTTCCTGCTTGCGCTTTTGCTGCTGCTGCTGTTGTTATTGTTGTTTCTGCCTCTGCGTGCGATGACGGTGGTGCACTTGATACCCTTCGGTTTTCTGGCTATGTCTACAACTCATTTGCTGTTGTTTCTGTTTATTTGGTTGTTGCTACTGCTATTTGCAACCTTCAGCTCATGTAGTAAGCGTGGCGCCCTTCCTCATCATCATGCTGCTTGTGCTAAGTGCTGCATTTTATAATGATTTACTTTGATGGCCCTTTGTAACACCACCAACACATGGTGCTTATTCTTTGCTGTTGTGTATTGCCTGTCGCTCGTCATTCTCTGTTTATTGTTTGCTGCTTAATGATTGTTGCTTTGTGGTTTCGCCCAACTTTTTATTGCATAGATGCTTATTTGCTAGTTCGTTTGGCTTTTAGTTTATTAACTATATGCTTAATATTTGTTTATTGTTTGTTTATCAATTATTTGCATGTTACTTGTTCATTGTGTGGATGTTAAGGCAGTTTGATTCGCGGAACTGTGGTCATCTTCGCTTTTCGGAGGTCGCAGCACTCGTCAGTCGCCTCTGTGTGAACTTGCAACTGCCCCCAGTAGACGGTGAGGTCACTTGTTTGCTGCTGCGCCTAGCCAAACCGCCTGTTCCCCGCTTCTGCTGCTGTGGTTCCTGTGCTGCTGTTCGTGGGGCTTGCGCAATTGGATGGTGCCGGCGAGTGTGTTACTGCTGCTGCTGCTATTGCTATTGGTGTTGGAGTTGCTGTTGCTGCTTATCTACTGGTTTTGATTCTATGGTTGTTGCTGCCGCGTCTGTTTGTCCTAGTGCCAGTGCTGTAGCTGTTTCAGCTTCTCCGTTGCCTCCTAGCGTTGTCTGTCTGGAGGACACGTTGTTGTTGCGTTGACTAATTTGGAGCGGCAGAGAACTTTCTTTTTTTTTCATCTTTGCGCAGAAAAGGCACTACGGCAAATCTTCAATGCTTTCGATTCTTCGGGCAGAGGTTTCTTAGAGCTCGAGGATTTCTGCAGAATGGTCGGTTTTCTTTTCTTTCTTGTGTTTATTGTATGGCTCTTTTCTTCCTTTTATGAGATCCTCAGTTTGTCTTTCGCATTCTTTTGTTTGCCTGTCCTCTATATTTCTGGGTGTGTGTGCTGCTTGATGCTGCATTGCTTCTTTGCGTACAACAGCTACAGCACTTGTACTGCATTCTGTCAGTTGGTGGGCTATTTTTCTGTTATGTCGCCTGCGTTTTGTGCTTGTATTGCTGTTTTTCGTTTGTATACTTGCCTTTGCGGTGCGGTCATTTGGTTGTCGGCGATGCTGGTAGCCGTTGGCTGCTGTCTTCAACTGGGCAGCTGCAGCACAAACCATTGCATTGTTGTCTCATTGCTCCTTTGCTGCTGCTGCAGTATTGGGAAATTCTTTCTCGTGTCCGTGAAAAATATTACCCAGAAAAAACTATGAAAGTCCGTCGCTCCCTCTTCGTCGGGCGCCGAAACTTAGCACAAACAGGACTTGCGATCACAGGTAATTTGCTTGCAGTAGCAGCAGCAGCACCAACAGCAGAAGCAAAAGGTACAGAAAAAACAGCAGCAAAAGCAGAAGTTGGAGTAATAGCAGCATCTGGGGGGAGTAAAACCAGCAGAAGGAAAACCAAAGCAATGCCTGCAGGACCAAAGACAATACCAGCTGCTGCTGAAGCAGTAAATAGCAGCAGTAGCAGCAATCGCAGTTCCAGCAGCAGGCGAATAGGCATCAAGGGCGGTTCTGTATCCTGTGTTTGCTTGTTTGTTTGCCTCCCTAATATTCCTGCCTGTTGGTTGCTCTCGCCTGTCTGTATGTTTCTTGTTTATTTTGATTTTGTGTGTATATCTTTTCCTGTTTGGATTATCCCTCGTGCAGATCTGTTTACGTTTGTAAAGAAGCTGGGCTCTGGTTCCTTCGGAGATGTTCATCGAGTCATTGAGAAAAGGTTGGGCACTTACGTTTGCATGTTTGCTGCTGCTACGCAACACGCTTCTACTGCACTCATTTGCTGCTGCTGCGTTGCCCTGCTGCTGCTGCATGGAGTTGGTTCTGTAGCATTGTTGCCTTCTTCCTACTGCATATTTTAGATACTTCTGCTACTACAATTACTACAACTAGTACTATTACTTCTACTACCACTACCGCTATTACTAGCATTTCGATTACCGTTATTATTATTGTTACTACGAAGTTACATCTACTGATATTATTATTGCTTTTACTGCAACTATTAGCACTATCAATACTACTACTAGTACTAATACCACGACTACTACTACTATTACTACTACTACTACTTCGGTCAATACAATACTACTACTACTTCTTCCACTGTGACTCCTACTACTAATACTACTGCTATTCCTACTTCTACTACTACTATTGCTATTCCTATTACTATTAGCATTACTATTAATGTTACTAGTGCAATACCATTGCTTTTCCTATTGCTAGCACTCCTAATACTATTACTACAACGACTACACCTACTGCTGCTACTACGATTATTACAACTGCCGCTGAGGCTTCTGCGTTGTTGGCTTTTGGATGCGTCTCTACTATGTATGCACGACAGGAGAGCAGATGTGTGCATGTGAGTGCGCAGTAGCGGTCTGGAAAGGGTAATAAAGACGATTAACCGCGACAGGAGTCAAGTGCCTCGCGAGCAGATTGAAGCGGAGATTGAAGTGTTGAAATCGTTGGACCATCCCAACATTATTAAAATATTCGAAGTCTTTGAGGACTATCACAATGTGTACATCGTTATGGAGTGAGTGCGGCTGGTCGAAACTTGCAGCTACACCACAGAACCCCCCCTGCCCTCACCGGCTCCTGTAGCATTCATGAACCTTGTGCATCGCCTGCTCTTGCTTCTTCCGACCCACTGACTTGCTGCATGTGTCTGTTCCGAAATGCGGGGTACGGCCGTCAGAAACTCTTCTGGTGCTGCTGCCACAGCTTCGGCTGCGATTTTCAGTGTAGACAGCGTAGTGTGTATGTGTTGCCGTGGGCGTGGGCTTGGATTTGTGTGGGTGCTTCTTCTGCTGGGCGCAGGACATGTGAGGGAGGAGAGCTGCTGCAGCGCCTCGTTGATGCAGAGAGTCGGGGCAGCGCTCTGACGGAGAAGAGCGTCAGCGTTATCATGAGACAACTCATGAATGCTCTCGCCTACTTCCACAGTAAACACGTGGCTCACAAGTAAGCATCAGCTACGGTGCTGTAGACAGCTGCTGAACACCCACATCGCATGCAAGAACGGGACCCCCGAAGCCCGCCTGCATCGGCCTGCAGCCCTACAGAAGCTGAACAAGGCACAGAACCACAATATAACAGATACCGTGGTGCTGCGCAACTGCCAGCGGCAGACAGTGGCAGCGGAGCATCTGATGTACAACTGTCTGTGCTGGGTGTGCAGAGACCTGAAACCTGAAAACATTTTGTTCCAAGACAAATCCCCCGACTCCCCCATCAAAGTAATCGACTTTGGTAGGAAATGCAGCACATTGGAGCCACACAGCAGCAGTGTCTAATTAACCACACAACTCCTCTGGCAAAATAGAAGTATATCTGTTCCTGTGACTTCTGCTGCTGCTGCTGGTGTGTAGGCCTGGCGGAGTTGTTTGAGAAGACAGACGCACACAGCAAAAATGCAGCAGGTGGGGTTCGCTGTGAAGGGCACACAAAGCGTACCTTTGATGGCGACCACGGACGCTGCTGTGGAGGAAGGAGGCGGTATCCATCCATCATCGTTCTGATTATGTGGTTGAGTAGCTCGATAGTGGACGCAACTTCTGTCTGTTTATTGCTGCGCAGGCACTGCGCTGTACATGGCCCCAGAAGTCTTCATGCGCAACGTTTCCCTTAAATGCGACGTCTGGTCTGCTGGTCCGTTCTGCGACTGTCGAAAGGAACTCCCTAACTGCGTGTATTGCCACACACAGCACGCCTGCAACATCTTGTGATTCACTCCATTTGCTTTGTTGCCGCAGGAGTCGTGATGTACTTCTTGCTGACGGGTTGTCTTCCTTTTACGGGTGCCAGTATTGAGGAAGTCAAATACAAGGTTTGTAATTGTAAGCTCGTCATGCCGGCACGGTGACACACACCCGATCAGGTGTTTTTAGCGCCTGCCCCTAGGGAGTTATTGAAACGAGAAGTGGGTCTGTAAAGAACTAATATGCTGGCAATTAACGTGCAGGCGAACCACATTATTCACGGGAATGTGCGCATCTGACTAAAGAAGCAGTATCGCTCATTAAGTGGATGCTTGTCAAGCCGGAACAAGATCGCCCGACAGCAACGGAAGTCTTAAAACATCCCTGGTTCAAACAGGCAGATTTGAAAGACATCCAAATATCCCCCATCATATGCGAGAACATGAAGGTACGTGCCGTGAAAAGTTGTCCCAGCTTTATGTAGGATTAATCCCAATCGCCGTATTCAGAAGGGGCCGTCAACTTCAGAGGGAAGCGGCACAACCCTTCACCAGTATCAACTTCCGCCAACGACCAATCCACTGCATGCTGCCGTGCTCGATCTTGTTGCAGAAATACATGCGGCAGTCGCATTTGAAGAATGCGCTAGTCAACTTGATGGTCCACCAGCTAAATGTAACGGGACCTCAAATCCGTCAGATTAACGAAATATTCCGCAAACTGGACAAAGATGGCGATGGGACAATATCTCATTGCGAATTGACTGAAGGTGTGACGCTGCACTTGAAGAGCCAAGAGAGGTTGCACCATTGTTGCGGTTCCTACGTTTCAAGACAAATATGAACTTGTCGTGACCGAAGGGGAGGTCCACGTGCGAGTCAAGCTGCTACTTGTTTGGGTTTTTCAGGTCTTGCCCAGGTTGGGCTTCCCCAGTGGGACATCAACAGGATCATTCAATCTATTGACGTCGACGACTCAGGAAACGTCTCGTATACAGGTAACAAAAGAACTGTGGAATAGCGTGGCGTTTGCTCACCTTTCAACGTGCCCATTCAACTGAACACGGCGCTAGTGACAGGTGATTTCCAAAGGCTAGAGGCGTGTGTTTTTACACCCTGTCTCCAGAGTTTTTGGCAGCATGTTACTCATGGAAAGAATCGGAGCTCAACGTTATCTGGACTGCTTTTCAAAAGATGGACAAGGTAAGATGGATGCATTAAAGTGGGACATATGTAACTTCACTGTGTTTTCTCTAATAGACTCCTCTGTAGCATAGTATACAGCACTGATTTAGTTGGACGATGAGAAGCATGTGGGAAATTATATACACAGGATGGAGATGGGAAGATCTCTGTCCCGGAATTTGAAGCAGTTCTTGGTGGAGACGATTACCGTTTAGTCCCAAAGGATACAATAAAGGCACTCGTTGCCCAGATAGACAAGAATGGTGATGGCCAGGTTCGTCTAAATTTTGATATTTAGTCCCTACACGCATTGACTGTGTTGAACAATGCAGAGGGGGCCGATTACTGGATTGTATGTTTTGCATCATTTATGCTTGCGCAGATAGACTGGGATGAATTTTTGCAGTACATGAAGCTTAACTAAAGGAACGGTGGATCGCACAGACAAGATGCCGCCCACTTGGGCAGAAATGCTGATGATGAAAAACGTAGCCTACAGGGAACCTTAGTGCTGTAATAATGGTCTAGGGTTGCTTATGTGCAGTTTTTGGCTACGCCACACGAAGAGTACCGCTGCTGCGACCTTCGTGTTTTAGCCACGAGGTCCTCCAGTTGCCGTTTGCCGCTCACTTGTTTGTATGATGCTCACTGGTGAGTACGTGGACCAACACTTTGACAGGAGCACTAAAATTAGCTGTCGTGCCAAAGGGCAGACTTAGCGGTCTGCAGTAGTGAAAGAACCAGCACCACGGTATGCATATGCTGGTTCGTTCACTACTGCAGAGCGCACTCTCCGTGAACATCACAGTTTGTTTTGTAGTGTATGTACAACTATGGTCGGCGCACGACACTGTGCCCGGCTGCTCGTCACATCTTTTTCTGTTTCGCGTTTTTGGAACAACTCCCTTTGCTGATCATTGCGATGATTAGCTCTTAAATCATTTCTCCACAGTATCGCAATTGTTTACCTGCCTTCGCCAATTCGGCGTAGTCTGCTGGTCACCGGGCCTGTCAAGATGAGGCAACGCCAACCCACCAATTCAAAGGCCTTCGAAAGCTCCTCGGAGCCGCATGAAAATCCGGTATAATTGATACGCAGTATATAATTGATTCACCCTTTGCATACTAGGACTTCAGGGTGAGCCTGAAGACACGGGATCCCGTAATTCCAGGAACAATTCGCCACGGCCGGGGGGGCGACAGGACACTGACTACACGCCTGGTGGTATGCCAGCTGGGCAACAACGTGGTCTGCCGCCCCTCCCAAGAACTCAACAGCAAGGGTAGGTTTGTTAAAGAAGCTTTCCATAAATCGTGTGCCGCTTGAACCCGAAATCTGGCAGCAGGTCCGCAGCAGCATTTGTCCCTGAACGAAATCGCCGAACCAATAAGAAAAAACCTACTTTACCAGAGCGCCTGCGCAACGTGAACATCGAACCTTCTCAGTCTGTATCACAACCATCCCAACACCAATCGAGGAAAAATTCATTTAAGCCAAATGAAGCAAATACCTCCAACACACATGTGGAGGCCCACGAAGATTACCCATCCTCACATTTCCAACCTTATTCCTCTGATGAGCAGAATCACGCCGATTCACAGAAGCGGGAATTTCTCTCATCCTTGGAATATCCAGCTTGGCAAGCTTATGAGAAAGGAGAGCCTTATGACTGCGTTGAGCGAGCAAGAAAGCAGCAAGAGAGTTCTGTTCCGCAACGGCCTTCCGGCTTGCGCCAAATACCAGGTCACGGCATTGGCCAAGTCGCCAGCCATGACGCAGGCTCTGAAACACGCCAAGTCTCAGGCCAGCGCGTAGAAGAAGTTCTGACAAACAACTCGGGTGACAGTGCGGGCCACGAGGACGACCGTGCTTCCGACCACAACATGGACGATGCAGAATTACCTTTGGGAAATATCGGACTCCAGGACTCAAACGGAGTTCTCACTCGCACCACTACCCAAGTCCAAGGCCAAACATCAGTGCAAATCCTACGTCGCAGCTCGGCACACACTATAGGCCATAGCTGGGGACCAGTCCCAGGCCACGGCATCGGGCAAGTCCCAGCGCACCACAGCACCAGCGAAATCGTGGGCCATGGCGGTCGCCACGTACCAAGGAGGGGGATGGGTGCACCCAATGCAGATGAAACGAGTTATCCCCGCCATCGATTCAACCCACCGCAAGAAGCACACCATGTGCAGTCATACCAACCGCAACATGTACGCAAATATCCTCCCCCAATGGATGACCAGCAACATTTTCACGGCCCACGATCGCAACATGGGCACCCCTACAAGAGAGGCCACCAACATCAGCCATATCGAATGCATCACCACTTTCCGCAGCAGTACTGGCGTCCAATGTTCGTGGCACCTTTCAATAGAGGAACTGTTCAGCAAAACCGCCCACAGAACAGAAGAGCTTTTCAGTTTGATTGTTCGACCCCAGCATTCGTTCCCCAGTTCCCAGGGAATCGCCAACTTGAGCTTGATATTTTGGCCCAGGCAAGCTCTACTTCTGGGCAAATATATTTCGCGTTTATTCATGTATTTTAAAGACATCAGGCCTCCCTTGGGTTTGGTGGCCAGACGCCATGAACACGGAGAAATACCTGCGAAAACATAAGGACGGCGAGGGCCGAGTTTTCCTTCGACTCAAAGACACTCCACCCGAAAAACGACGAACCTCTCTTGACGAAATAGATATATGGGTATATGTTGGCACCGTCCCAACCAGCGTTGGGCGCAGACAGAACAAAGAATAGGCCGCAGGAAAAGCTGGTATGCAGCTGCTATCGCAAATTCAAAATTCGCGCCTGCTTGTTTTCCTAAACACTCAAGCCCTGTATACCAAAATATAGTAGATCCCCGGTTTGTCAGCCATGCCATTCGTGAGACGAATGGGCCTGAAGACCAAAACTTCGCCTATTATGGCGGTCCATTAGCTTTGAACCGTTTCAAATAAATTCTGCGTAGCTTCAGCCGGGCGGCACCTGAGCGGTAGGGGCAAGGCGCTCTCAGACGATGTCATTGCACGTCACAGTTGTCCAGGCGGGGGAGCCTCCTAGCATCAAACCACATTGTAGTATGATAGTGTAACATTAAAGTCTCTGTCGAATCACTGAGCATAAAACCGAAGGAATACCACGGAAGGCATGCACAGCATCAGAGAAATCAGCCCAGTTTTGTCATGCGCGGGTATGCTGGTGTGAAGTTAGTGAGATACATGCTTGATCGATGTGTTTAGATTCACATATTTATTAGAAGTCGACAAATTTAATATCCTAAGGGATTAGCATTCCTGTAAGGTTTAGAAACTGGCCCTGTTGTACGGACCCTCTGGACTGGCTGACTGGCAGCCAGCCATTACATTATACATGTAGCTTAAGCAGTTTCTCGTTCCCATACAAATTCCTGAGTTATTTTGCAGTGAAGCCTTCTTTATTCTTTAATTCGAAACTACAAGTCAAGACAGTTAAGACATCTTCAGTGATCGGGCAGACAGCTGTTCGCACGTTTTTGCATGCAAGTCGCTTGTCTCGAGCCCTTAAGGGAGGCGCGTAAAATCTATTGGATGGGCGGGAGTGTTGATTGAATCATTCGCATAACTGTTTAAAGGGAAGGTTGGGCTCTCTGAAGGATGCGGAGATGGTTGGTGTTTTTGGGCGTTATTTGGTGTCCGCTGTGATGAGTGAAAGCTTTGGGTGGCGGTGATAGGATTGTGTCAAGCGGAGTGTGCTGGAGGGGTCATTTGATAGGGATTGAGGTTTGTTAACATTTTTAGTGTTGTTGTAGCGCGTACACTTTGTCGTATATTGTATATTGCTTGTTGCGCATATGTTTGTCGCGTTGAGAATTTGACGATTTTTTATTGTATAGTAATAATTGTCGTAGTAGTATTTGGGTTGTATCTACTGTATTGGATATTTTGGATCTGTTGGGAGCATTTGATGGTGTGTGGATTTTGAATAAGAGATATTCCCAAGTAATGGTTTTTGTATTAGGGAGTGCGGGTGTTAGAATTTTTTTAGGGTTTAGGGTTTAGGGTTTAGGGCGGAGGGAGGGAGGGTAGTTGGCGATGTTGCCGACGAGTTTGCCGGCATTCCTCCCTGCAGTGCCGCAGGAGGAGTTGCAGCTGCCTACACTGCAGCATTTGGATTTAACTCGCAAGAGGAAGACTAATGTGAAGGGTTTGCCTTCTCTACGGGGTTTAGGGGGTCACAGAGGGGGCAAACGTAATGCGGACAAGCGGCCTTCTTCTAAGAGTGGGGAGTTAGGGAGAGGATTAGCTCATTTAATTCGTAGTGATAATGCCAGTAATGCGAAAGATAATAAAGCAGCAAAGGCACAGCAGCAACATGGCAAGGGAGAACTCGAAGAATTGCTTCATATAGTCAAAACTATCGAAGAAGAATGCCTTCTTAACCCCGAAAAAGATACTGAAGCAGATAAAGAACAAGACCCCTTCTTTAGGTGTATGGATACCATCATTCAAGTCTTAGAGGAAACAAGAGAACTTATTGAACAAAGAAAACAAATCCTGGAAACATCAGGCAAGTTGTATATATATATATATATATATATA